CCAGTGACAGGCGGCGCGGGAGGGGACTGTGCGGCGCCCGGGTTCCGGGGCGGAAGACGTGACGCAGGACCCGCCCCCTCACACCGATGGGCCCCTCCGTCTCCAGGGCCCGGCCCCAGCCTATCAGACGCCGGCCTGGCCCTGCCTGTCAAGCACCATCCTCGCCCTCCGTTGGCCCAGAACCCGGCTCCTCCCCCTCTCACGCCCGCCAGTCACCTGGAAGCCCAGCCCCCAGCCGGTCCGCCCTCCCGGGCCGGACCTCGTCCGGAGCGCGGCCGGCGGACGTCAGCCGGCTCCCTCCTGGGCATGCGGCCCGCTGCGCCCCGACTGCGCGCTTTGCGGACCCGCCCCGAGTGCGTCATCCGGCAACAGCCCGGCTCTCCGAGGGGGCCCGCGGGCGTGGGGAAGCGGGAAGGTAGGGTGCCGCGGACGGGGCGGGGACGGTGGTTGAAGTGCGCCCCGGAGTGCAGATCCCGACGCGGCCACTTCCTAGCTGGGGTGACCTTGGCCAGTCAGAAAACCCCGAGCCCCAGTGTTCGCCTCCTGGCGCTTCGGATGAGAATGGCACTGGGCTCCCCAGGACACTCCGTACGTGTTTGACACAAACCCGGCACGGCAGGCGGCAACCACTCCTGCTTCAAACATCCGCCAGGACCTGCTCTGCATCGGCTCTGTGAGCCGCGGGGATGCAGCGTGAACTCGGTGGGACCTCGTAAGAAGCCGATAGATGTACCTTTGTTCACGGTTGCGTCGCTGCTGTCCCACATTCTACACATGGGGAAACTGAGTCTGAGAGTAAGATGGCATTTCAGTGTATTTTACTCCACTCAGCAAGCCTTGAAAAGGGTCTCCTCCTGGCTGTCCCTGGGCCTTTGGTTCTCTCCTCTCCTCTTGGGGCCTCATCAGCTCCTCTGGGTAATGGCCAGATGGGCCAGTCCTCTCCGATGATCAGTCTGGCGCTGGGATCAGGTGACTGGATGGAAAGCTACAGGCTAGTGAGGGCAGGAAGCACCTGGCAAAGGTCAGGAGGCCAGCCCTTGGCCTAGGGCAGGCATGAGTGTGTGGCCTGCCAGGGACCTCACGTGATGGAAGCAAATTCCAACGCCCGCTGGAAACGCTTGGAGCAGGGGTGCTGACCTCTGCTTGCCCCTTTGTAAAACAGGGGTGATCCCTGCAGGCCCCACCCCACCCGTACAGTGATGGGGAGGGCCAGATAAGATAAGGGGGAGACCTTGTAATTATCCTCTCTTCCTGTGTCCCTTGCTTACCCTTTCCAGGAAGTGGGTGGAAAACCCTGAGCTATGGATGCAGACAGGTATGGGTTCAATGTCAACTCTGCCACTCACTGGAAGTCACTGAGCAGCTCGGCGCCTGCCCCGTGGGACAAGGAGGCCTCTCTGAAAGGGGTTCCTGAGCTCGGGCTGAGGAATTGCTGGCTCACAGCCGGGCCCTCACTAAATGCCCAGGAAATGTTTGTAAACACACTGCGGGCCGCCTCCTACAGGAAGCCATGCTGGCCTTCCCACTGCTGGTGTCTAGAGTGGCCCAGAGCGCTCCGTCCAAACGGGCTCTGCGACCTTGGGCCTTTTGCTTCCTCTCAGGACCTGCTGCTTCTCCATCTGAAGATGGGCACCAGGAGCAACTACCCTGGCAGGACTGCAAGCTGGGCCCGGTGGGCTTTCTGGGTTCAGGTCCTGCCGGCCAGTCGGACTTCCACTCCTGCCACGTTCCCCTGCCCTTCTGCTCCTGGGCCTTCCTGCTGCCCCTTGAACATACCAATCCCGGTCCTGATGCAGGGCCGCCACCCCTGCAAGCTGTCCCCTCTGCTGGAACATTTTCCCCCTACCCTCTCTCATCATCACTCCTGGGGCTGGTTCCCTGTCATCCTGCAGACCTTCTCCTACATGAACTCTCCTAAGAGGCCTTCCTAGTCATTCCCCAGATCAGCTTTAGTTCTCTGCACGGCACTCGTGCCACCAGTATCTCTCCCGCTACACTGTGGGCCCCTCCTGGGCAGGAATCTTGCCAACTCATTCTCTGCTGTATTCCTGATGCACAGCCCAGGGCCGAGCACATAGAAGGTGTCTAATAAATATCTGAGGAATAAACAAAGGAAGGACGGAAGCATGCCACAGATATCAATGAAATGCCTCGAGGCCCATGCTGACCTCCCAGGCACCCATATGACTCAGACAGGCCCTCCAGTTGGAGACATTGACAAGGTTAGTCAGGGAGCTGGACAGACAGCCCAAGAATTACAAAACTCCATGAGGGTGCTATAAATAGATGCATGAGCAAGAGTCCCAGGAAGACGCCAGACTCCACCTGGGTGAGGTCAAAGAAGGCTCCTCAGAGGAGGTGACTTTAAGACTAGACCTTGAAGGATCTGTAGGAGCTTCTCAGGCAAAGAAGCAAGAGTCTCCCTAGAAAGGGTTGTAGGTACGAAAGGGGCCGCACAGGAGGGCCAGTGGGGAGCACCACAGGAGAGCTGTTTCTCAGCTGCTGCAGCAATATCTGCCGGCCGCCCTTGCCTGGAAGTAGTACAGTGAGGCTGGGGGACCCCACCGCCATTCAGAAACCAAGAGGGGCATTTGACAGGGTCACAACAGCTGCCTCTTACCCTGACTCTGAGAAGAAAAGTCCCAAACACCCCTCTCTGCAGACTCCAGGGAACTGAGGCATGGGAGGAAAGGGAGGGTGTAACCAAGCATTGATGTGGGTGTGAGCTGAGGTGGGCAGGACCTGGGGTGACAGAGGGCTGGAGAGAGGGTGGTCTGAACCCAGGATCGGGGAAGCTCATTCATTCATTCAACAACTATTTATTGAGCACGTACTGTGTGCCTAGTACGAGGGCACAACACTGAACAAGATAGACACATCTCCCAGCCCGCCGGAGGTGACGGACTAGTGGGTGAGCCCCAGCAAAATGCCCAAGTGCAAGCAGTCTGCCAGAGGATGATAATTCCTATGGAGAAAAGGAGGGAAAGGAATATGGATGGAGACAGGGACATGGATGGGTGGGGTGGGGACTGTAACTTTAAAGAGGGAGGTCTTGCCGGAACCGGTCTGGCTCAGTGGATAGAGCGTCGGCCTGCGGACTGAAAGGTCCCAGGTTCGATTCCGGTCAAGGGCATGTACCTGGGTTGCAGGCACATCCCCCAGGAGGCAGCTGATCGATGTTTCTCTCTCATCGATGTTTCTAACTCTCTATCTCTCTCCCTTCCTCTCTGTAAAAAATCAATAAAATATATTTAAAAAAAAAAAATAAAGAGGGAG